ATCAGAAGAGCTCAGATCAATAAAATTCAGATGAAAAAAGATTTTTTTTTCCTAACTGCTGTGATCCTGATTCTCCACAGTCTAGCATTTTATATCTGTGTGAAATGGCAGTAAAGTGAATGGAGAATTCTGATCTGGCAGGATTCTGCTCTTGGCTTATGCTCAGATGTGAATGACAAATGATGGCATCAGATACAAGCCTTTCTATCTTTTATTTAAGTATAGAAAGTAAATAAGTAATTGTAGAATGACTTGTTTATATCTTGCAAATAAGCATATTTACTGAGGGGTATTTTGTATCAATTACAGCATTTTATATTACATCAGCATTAGCATTCCAAGATGATGAAGACCTCTTTGTGCGGCAAATTATATGCAGGTATTTGAGCATCTGCATCATGGTACCTGGTATCTGATAAATGTTTATCTAATGATTTTAAAATAGTTTTACTGGCTGAGCAACAGCTTCTCTTTGAAACATAAGCCTACTCATTTTAACCTCTAAGCTAGATATAGTTAACTGATGACTTTATGAAGCAGTGGCACCTTTTGCTGTTTGCGTTTACTGTACATTTTTATGATCCTGTACAATGCTGTTCCCCTATACATGGAAGTCACTAGGAAACAAAAATGCACAACATCTTGCAGAACTTAGCCTGTAATTTTATGCTCCACAATGAGACATACCTACAATAATCTGACAAAATGAAAGCAACACATGTCGTATCAGCTCCAAATAAATACCCTGTCTCCTCTACACCAGCTGCATTGAAAGTGATCTGACATAATGGTGTTAATATCAGCAGAGCTACTAATCTCAGATACTAGTGATTTCAGTACTGAGGGAGAGAACGCTATAGCAAATGGAGGTCATTCAATATCCTCTAGCACTTTGGACAAATGTGGCATTTTGGACTGTCCCTACTAACGGCAGAATACAGTGCTAACACTGCTGTTACAGAGCTACTTGTGCAGGTAATCTACTCCTAACAGCAAAGTGTCTGTTCAGATGGGCCTGTTTATTTTGGTGCCTTGCAGAAGCAACAATATTGCTTGGAAGCAAAAGGCATACTCTAGGTTTTAGTGGTAAAAGCAGAAGTCTCTGACATATCAGAAATGAATTTTTTTTTTTTAGATATTTAACCCTGTTTAGGAATACAGTATTGCTTTCTAGATCTTTTGCCTCCTCAGTATCTTATGTGACGGGTCATGCAAAAAAAAAAAAAGGAGCTGCTGTGGAGGACCTGCAGTGTTCTGGTAGGAACGTAGGAATATCAGAATCCACAAAGCAAGCACGCATGTCTCTATGGTCCGCAAGCGGGAGAATTGCAATGAGAGATACAATAGTTTTACTTTAACTGGAATAAGAAGGATGCTGAGAGAATTTTACTATTTTCAGTGTCATGAGGTGGCACGTAGGAAGAATCCTTTTCCTTGGCAACAATTCCTGAGCCATAAGGTTGAACCTGTTTACCCAGGCACGGTGCCATTCTGTCAGATGGGCATTGATACACCAATTGTAGAGACCCTGCGTTGCATGTGCATCAGGTGTAAGTGTCCCAGATAGGATTCCCAGCAAGGATTGTCCATATGTCTGTCCATTCTAATTTTATATTCCCTTGTTCCATTACTAATCCAGGTATGGGTCTGATTATGTTTCAAAAATAGAGAACAGCTTTTCTCTCCTTTAATAAGACCTCTTGCCCACTTGCATAACATAGGTTGGAGTAATGGTTTAGGATAAGTTTTTGGAAGACAAACTTTCCTTCCTGGCCTTACCAGACCCCTTCCTTCTGCATTCAGAGAAATGAGAGCTTTATAAATCTTTTTCCTTTCTAAGCAAAGTCCCTGTAGGATCCATCAGGGTAAATCTTTGGCACCAAGCTAGATTTCATATGCACAGCAGAGTGGAAATCTGCACTATTTTGCAGGATGTTTTGGCTGAACTGGTATAAAGCATAGAGGTTTCAGGGTTCAAGAAAGAGCGTGGCACTGGGGATTGTCTCCCTAGCTGCTCTCTCTCAACCACCACCTGCCTTTCCTCTTGATTTCCTCAGTGGCCTCAGTTTTCTGTAAATCAGCAGGACTCCCAGCATTGCTCTTTCCCTATCTTAGATATTTTATATTGCTATGGTACAACATCTTATTTTGCTTATTGTACTCCTTTTTATGTGTTTCATTTTCATGTGTATTGAAGAGATAAGTATCTGATACCTGTGGAATGTGCAGAGTGATGCCAGGTCATGCTTTTCTCTGATAGCTGAAGCAATTGCACAGGCAGCCAGTTATTTAGTACAAAGCTTTGATAATGTAATTTTCTTGCTCATCTCATGCAGTCTGTTCCATACTAATGCAGCAGATTTGAAAACATATGACAAAAATCTTAGTTTTCCTGATATTCCTTTTGGAATTAGCTTTACTAAACGCTGGGGCAACACACTGAAGCAGAGCTGCAGAGCCAGCCTCTTTTGATTTTGGTTTTTGATTTTAAACTCTGAATAATGGATTATATTTTTCTTCTGGACCTGGCACGTGTCATTTAGATTGGCCACAGAGTGGGCAAAAGCAATATGTTTTTTGCTTGTATATGTTTCTATGAATGCTGACAGTAAGCGGTTGCATTTGAAAATACCCATCCTCCCTGAAGTCTTCTTAACTTGCCTCTATCTACATATGTACTTTTTTCACCAACTTCTAAAATGCAGCTGCCTCTGGTTGGCTGAACCAGATTTAGCTGTGTATATTACTACAAGATGCACTTTAATGCAATGTAATTTTCTGGGAAATTTTAAGTAGAAGAATGACTGCTGTGCTTTGTGGGGACTCACTTATTAGTATCCTCTCCTATTGCTGAAGGATCCTGAAATCTTTAAGGACTTCCTTTGCAGAGCATAGAGGCATAAAAGCAACCCGCATAAACCAGTGTTGAGATCCAAAAAATTGCAGTTCAGACTGGATATGAATATTTTGCTGTTCAGATATTTTGATTTTGGGTTGGGATTTAACTTCTTCCAAATGTTTGTATAGTGCAGTCCAGCACAACAAAGCCACACACAGTTTGAGTTCTCTAGACAATGATATAAAAGTTAAAATAATGAAAATAATGTCATCTGGAAACTGTAAAGCGTGCACAGTGGAATAGTCATTGCAGTTTAACGTGTCACCATTCAACTAATGGAATGAGCATCAGTACTGGAAGGAGAAATCTGCATCCACACATACCCCATTCCACTAGTGTGTCTGGATTTCTGGTAAAGCAGCGTGTTGGTCCTTCTGTCAGTATGTTTAATTAACTTCAGCTTTACTTTTGTTTCTGCAATTTACAGTCAGTTAAATCATAAATATTGTTTTGTAACTGATAGAACAGTATGTAATGGTCCTCATCTTGTATCCTTTTTAGTCTGAATGTGACATCCACTTTGTAATTTTTAATGACAACAACAATTTTTATTATATTGCTGGAACTTTTCCCCGGGGTAATTGTGTCTTTTGTATATAATATGTGATCTATAAGTGAAACTGAAGCAGAAAGCTGGTAAATCCAGCATCTTCTGTAGCTGCGTATTTATGTTAAAAATTCTTGGACCTAGTATAAGAGATTGAAAGTATCTTATAAAACAAAACCAACCCAAAATTTAAGTTAATGATACACAAGGTAGCTGAGCTTTCTGCAGTTCAGTGAAAGAGAGTTTCTCTAAATATGAAAATATCAAGCAAAATACAAGTGAAGGCAGAACATATTTACATATCAGCTCTGATCTGCTATCTTATGGAAATCAGCTGCATGTTTGTCTTGCTGTGTGTCTGTAGGCCCTTTGAAAGTATTTCCAATTAACAGAGATTTTACTTTTTTGGTTAAACATTGGAACAGGCTGCCCAGGGAAGTGGTTGAGTCCCCATCCCTGGAGGTATTTAAAAGACGAGTAGATGAGGCACTTAGGGACATGGTTTAGTGGGTGGTGGTGTTGGGTCGATGGTTGGACTCGATGATCTTAGAGGTCTTTTCCAACCTCAGTGATTCTATGATTCTATGTTGACCACAAAATTTGCTCCAGTTCTGATTTCCTTCAAGACAAAGAGAAGTAATGACCTTATGAGTAGCAAACTGACTGATCAAGACCTTTCTGCTCTTGGCTTTTCAGGAATTTAGAGAAGTCATTTAAGCAACAGTCTCATCAGGGGCAAACCGTATCCAAAGCTTAGACTTTTATTGTTACAGCCTTCAGCACCTTTCGTTGTGTAACTGCACTGTGCTATCAAATGCAACTGTAATAGAGTTGCATGTCACATATGCGTAACAGAAGCAAGTATCTTGCCTACCTACCAGGATGATTGTGGTGGGGGATAAGCAGCGGGTGCTACATTGCAGACGGACAAGATAGCAGAAAAAAACTTATATTCCTGCCTCAGCATTATAGCATAAGCCAATATTTGTGAAGCTATGGGCTATGCATTTCTGTTCCAGTTTTGGGACTCAGAGCACATGGGATGAGAGGAGAAGCAGTTATAGACATAGTTATTGCCTGTGGTTCACTCTGTCACTTCTTCCCTTTCAAAGTGAGAGATTATTGGAGAACTTGGGAAAGGAAGGGGAGAAACTGCTTTTCAGTCCACCAACTTGGACTCGGATATTGACTACTGTATATGAGCGCACCCTTTTTCTCTGCATTTTTTTCCCATACTGAATTTATGGGTGGCACAGAAACCATCAATAGTGCTATAGATCCTCATTTTCTACCTGACTTTTTAAGTTTAGTGATCAGTTCTTCAGAAGCTGAGTATGTTTTACTGTAAGAGAAACAGGGACAAGGTCCTCTAACATACAGAAGCTTAGCATAATTCAATAAATTGAATAAACGTCACTTGGGAACTTGAGGAATGGCTCTTCTGTAGAAGATGATACCCTGTTTAGAGTTTCCAAAGTTTATGTAATTAAATATTTCCTATGCTTTGCCTTCATTTTATGGTTTGATTATTATTCTTTGATTACTTCTTTCTAGCTCAACAAAATTCACCAAAAATCCATGAAGGCTGGTGGGCTTATAAGGAGGTGGTCCAGGGAAGCTTTGTTCCAGGTAAGTGTAATTTAAAAATCTTAGTTTTTATTAAATATTTTTTCACTGGAATTAATATAGTTGGGTTTGGGGGAGATTTTTTGGGTTTAGTTTTTTTAATCCATTGCGAAGATTTGAAGTACACAAGTACTCAACATCACATTGTAGTGAAGCATAGAAAGGTTTTTGTCAATACATTGTCCAAAGACCATGGCTGTTTTTTGGGAAAGAAACCGCTTTGATGACACGCCTGGTTTCTCTCAGTAGAGTAACATGATGCTACTTCGTGAATGTGTGTGTTCTGTGTATAGAAAAGAGAAAGGGAGGACTGAAAAGCAGTATTGTTAACTGGATGAATATACTTATCTGATGCAGCATTTCTAGATAATCCCATTTCTAGAAATTTAATAGTATATTAGGAAAGGAACCTAATTGAAACATGAACCTAACGTGCAAGTTTCACTGATTTTTGTTTTGGAAACAAGAGACAATGAGTGAAAAAAGATTAAATCCTTACTTGGCTTCAGTAAGATTTAGTAAATGGTAAATAATCAGTAGGCAGCTAAAAGGATCTAAATAAGCAACACCAGCTGAATTTGATTAGCAAAAGTGAAATTCAGGCTAGCAATAGCCGGGCATTGGTCAATATTGGTAGAACTCCCCCAAAACATGTGCATTGGTCGTCCTAATGCCTTATACTCCTTAACTATCATGTGGTCTGAGTAGGCCTTAGCTTGTTCTTTTTAGCTCTGGATCTCTCTTAACACATTTCAGGATTCAAGCTGCTTGAGACACTAGTAGTTCTTAGGCTGACAAGGTTTTATTTTGGTTTTGACCTGCATTTGACACCTGATCTTTTTGTGCTCCCTTTCTGTAAATTATTTTATTCTTTCTTTCGATATGAATTACTTTGTTGGGTCTTCACTGTTCCATTTGACTCGACGTTTCCCTTAGAAGAGGAGTCAGGAAACTTTAGCAACCTCCATTTTCTGTTCAGTTGTGGAGCTGATTTGACAGTACATTCCTCATTCAGTATACAGAAACATTTAGTGATTATTTTGTTCAGTATGTTTTCAGTGCAATTGAGATGAATATGCATTAATTTATGTATATTAGCTATATATTACAAGCTAAAACAATGCTTCAAGTTCTATCATGAATGCACCATGAAAATTGCTACATGATCTTTATTTCCTCAAAATACTAGAAAATATTACTTGGCCACTGTGTGATCTATTCTAAGAATATGTAAATTGGATCTATCATCAGATATTTTCAATGTTGTGACAACAGTTACAATCTGACAGTCATTTGAATATCCAAAATACTGATTATCTTGTTAGGAATACTAGTGCAAATGAGATGAAATATTTCAACCCACAAGTTTCTGGCACTGAAATTCTTGTGAAAAGCACATATGAAAATCAACATCTACAAGCCTGGAGCTTAATTACATACTGATGCAGCACAAAGTAGCTTTTCAGATTTACTTGAGATTGGTTTGGGCTGTCAAAGACGCTGCAGTGTATTGTTATGCATGTTTAGTTCCTAATGTTGATAGCAGGGGAAGAAACCTGGAGAACGTAACCACCTGCTTTCAAGAAATTTCAGCCTTCCTGATTTGCACGACCCAGGTAGATGCCCAGTAGAAGGTGAATGAAGAAATACTTGCTTAACGTACCTTCTAATTATTTCGGCTTAAAGTTATTGAGAAAATGATTTAATTGTAAGCATGTAAAGAAACGTGATCAGGTAATGCTTGTGGTATTCTAGTCTTAATACTGTGAGAAATTTGGACTTGGGAACATCCTTAGAAGATTAATGAGGAAATAATCATGAGTCAAACTTTCAAGAAGGAAGACCTTTTAGACTAGTGTGGAGAGACACCTCCTTTCTGAGAGAACCCTGAATTACCCATACATGTTGAATATCGGACTAACCTAGCACACATCCTCAAGAATTGGTTCAGAAGGACAATTATGAACAGTTCACTGAAGTGGCTATGCAGAAAGCAAGGGTAATTTGGGGGCACCTTTCTTGCAGACTGTCACGTTTCTTTCAGATTCAACTCTGCAACCTGCAAGCCTCATCAGAAGAGAGAAATCCCATAAATTTTTACAGAACAAACAACTAATTTTTTTCAGCAGCACCTAGATTTGGGTGTCTTTGAAAACCATATTTAAAGCATTTTGAGGATGCATTTTATGGTTATGATCTCAGACTAACACATCACAAAGGATATGTTAGTGCATATTAAGTTTATCCATAATGTTAGCAGTCACATATCAGATCTCGCATGAGATGCTAATTAGCACCTGAGAGGTGATAGCTGCGAGGCAGTCTGAGGAGCTATAGCTGAAGTTGCTGACTGATGTGCACCGAAGCGAACAGCTATAGCCATCTGCTAAGATGTTTCCTTTCCACAGCTGTTTGTCCTGTCCCAGGGCTGGAAGTTACCACTCCCAAAGATATTAGAAAGGAATATTTGTCCAAGACACTGTCACTGCAGTTCAACACTAGCATCTCAGCTAATATGATTGACATGAATACAGCTCTTTAGCTGCTTGGGAGAGCAACCACAGGCAGAGAGATGACTAATTGGGGGTAATAGCATTGTAAAACACTCCAGGATGAGTTGCTAGAGTTTGTCTGTCACAGCTTTGGCTGTGTGAATACTTTTCGCCTACTTCAAAGCAAAGTCACTGTCTTTCTTTGAACTGTCACTTCTTCTTTCATGTATAGTTGTGTAAGAATGCATTTAGGAGTGTATCACAATATGCCTAGGTTAGACTATGCCATTCATAAGTTTTTTTGATTAATACTCTGTTTTGGATGCATTTAAGTCAAGTCCTAACAAATGCTCTGGGATCCTGCGCAGATTTGTCTTCGAGCAGTTCATAAAATCAAACCATACTTCACTACGTTCCCCAAATCCCAGACTCCCTATACTCTAGGATAGATTTTAGAAAAGTTATTTTAAATCACTTTCTAATGTAATATGTTCACATATTACACATTTTTTCCCCCAGATTCTGGGATTCACAACTTAAATTACATGTTGTAAACCAGTGGCTTACAATCACTGATGTGTATCTCACAGGTGGGAGAGGATGTAGGCAGAGATGAGGTGCAAGAGCCATCACACTGTCTTTCCCAACTTCACTTCTTGCACTGCTCAACAAAGAAGAGAGCAATGGCGACTGACAGGTTCTCTCGCTATAACAACTGTGGCTCAGGTCTTTCTTGGTGCCAAGCCTTGCAAGTGAGGGGGCAGAGTTGTCAAGTGCGGGAAGGAAGGTGCATCAGTGGCTGGATCTGTGTATATACTAGTGATGCATAAAACACTCTCCCATCTCTCACCTTTTCTAAAAGCAAAGAATTGCTCTTATGGTTTAAATCATGTAGGCAAACAAAATAGAAAGTAAGTAGTGCTTTAAAATATTAATTGAATGCAACTTAGGTTCTAAATTAAACTTCAGGGGATGTTCAAGGATGAAGAATGAATACTTTTCTTTATGCATGGTGATTTGCATAATAAATTATATTATTACATACTTTCACTACATAGACTTTTTCTGGCATGGAATATCAAAGTAGTTCATGATGGGTTAAAATACATTTAAATAACCTTTTTTACAACTTTTGTTTGGCAAGTAGTTCATGATGGGTTAAAATACATTTAAATAACCTTTTTTACATCTTTTGTTTGGCTGAGTTTTGCTGTGACTATTAATATGTTGTGTTACTGAAGTAGCACAAGCATTTTCAGGGTGGCAAAGGCAATAATATTTCAAACTATTCTGTACCATTTCTTTTACTTGAAATAGATGTGCATAACCTTTGATACTCTTGTGTGTCTGACTGTATTGATTCTCTTCCTAATGCTCCTGGTTTTTTCATAGCATCATAAAAGTGGGCATTGGTAAGCATAAAATATAAAGGTGGTTAAATCTAATTTGTGATCACGGAATTCACTTGCCAAAACTCCATCCTGTTACTGAAACTTTGGACGACATGTTAATACAAGGACATAAGTGTTTCTTGCCCTGTGAAGACACTGTCTTCATGACCCTTACTGAATTATACCAAGTCTAAAGTTACTTTACAAGGTGATAGTGCTAATCTTAGCTAAGAGGAGGAAGTCCATCTCTACCAAATAATGAGTGAACTTTGCAGAAGGAGCAGATAATGTTCTCCTCCTTCCTTATAATAAAGGTTGTAAAACAACTTCAATTCCAGATAAAGATCTATATCCACCATGATTCATTATTGGCTACAGATCACCAAATCAAAGGCTAAGATCACCCTTTTGCTGAGAATCTGAGATGAGAAATCCCCTGTTCATAGTTCCTTTCACAACTCATTTTACTATAGAAGGGAAGAGACTGCTAGAGATTGATAATATTCCTCCTGCCTTTTGCAAGGATCATGTTGATGGGATTATGCCCTAACATAGACCAGCTGGCAAAGCTACACTGACTCAAAAGGAACACAGGAGCAGTGTTTGTGAAGCACTGAGAAACTCCCTCCAAGGAGGAAATGCATTAATTTGGTAATGATTTACAAGGAAAAAAAAGCCCGAAACAATTGATGATCTTGGTCATGAGTGCCAAAACCTGATTTTAAACTTCCTGCTATCGCCATGTGCTTTTGTTATGGCCCACACAGGCAGTTCAAGTGTCCCTAGTTTCTCCTGTGTGGGCTTTAAGTTTTCTTTTTATTACAGCTTTAAGATTTCTTTTAAACTACAGATTTCTTTATGTACATGTCCAAAAATAACATTTGATGGGCAGGTCACTGTAAGAACCATGAACTGTTTGTCCATGGCCTGAAACTGAGAGATATGAAACTTCAAACCCAAACACACCTTAAACTTTCTGAAAAGCTCATGTATTCTGCCATCCTCCAATCACATAGGGGTCTATTTCATACATTAAGACTGGTGATCACTTAGTTTGGCTGCCTAAATAATATAAAACATAAACCTGCTGATTACTGCTCCTGCATTGCTCCCTTTTATA